GAGAGAGAGAGACAGAGTGTGAGAAAGGGAGAGAGAGCCCCAAAGAGAGGCACACCTCTTTAATTAAATTCTCACCTGCAAGACACGAGATGAAACTGCTGTCAGAGATCTTTCACTAAACATGTTCTCATCTATGTTTTCAACAACAAAGACTGAATACTTGGGCTTTAGTAATGATGGATTTTAATATAGAACAGCACTGAGAGGATCCCAAGTCAGTGGTCTTATTCAAGTCCATATTCTAGTTCTACTGAACTGAGAATATTTGGGTTACAAATTAAAATTAGGCCTAAAAATCCACGCACCTCTGCTCTGGTGTGGGTTTTTATTTAAAGAGAGAGAGAGTGACCTCCAGTAGAGTACAGAGAGAGAGAGGGCTCTGTCTCAGGAGCTTCCCCAGTCTCAGGCAGCTGAACTGATGTGGGGTTAAAGCTGTTCATGTTGAGCAGGGAGCATCTCTGACCAGAGGGCAGGATTTTCAAGGTAGCGCTGCAGGTTTGGGGAGAGGTTTCCAGCCCCCCTCCTTCCTTTTATGAAGCCAGGGTCCCTGAGCCACGGGCCTAAGGAGCTCCCGCAAACTTTCCAGCTGCAGAGCGGCCTCTCATCTTGACTTGTTGGCATCAGATCGTTTCATGTGATGGCGGGAATGAGAAGATCCAATTGGTGAATGAGTCCCTCCTCGTCGGGGAGGGATGACATTTAGAGGTGTGCCACACTCTAGAGCGGGTAACAAGCTGTTCAGGTGTTTGCTATGGTGGAGGAGCACATGTTCAGATCAGATCAGCCTCAATACTTTTTTGGTGCCCACCTGTGTGTGTAGCACTAGTTACAGAGCACCGCCATGTGCAAAAAGCTGACATCAAGATTCATATCTTTAGCCAGCATTTCAAATTGAATGTTTCAGAAGGTTGATTTCTTTCAATAAATGAAAAAAGATTCAAATTTTCAAAGAAGTAGGCTGCAACTAAAGATTATTTCAGTGTTTTTCAGTATTATAATGTCAGAAATTGTGGAAAAATGCTTATAAATTCTCAGAGCCCAGTGTGACATCTTGGTGTAGCTTTTTTGTCCATCCAACTAAAATCCAGAGATATCCAGTTTACAATGAAATAAATGAGAGCAAATCGTCACAGAAACAATAATATTTGGCATTTTTTAATTAATATTTAATCGTCCATTAATCGATTCCAAAAAAAAATTGTTGCAAATTATTATGATTAGATTTTCTGATGATCACCTAATCAATAAATGGACTAATTGTTTCAGCTCTAAACTATTGTTCCATCGTCAGAGCTGAAAATCGGTCATAGTATCGGAACTGATTTAAAATGCCACAGCCCTAAGCAGTCACAGTTAATAATGAGTGCCCATGATACAATAAGTGAGCGTTTTTACAATTGTGTGGGTGTTGCATCATTGCTGGATGTGATTGTTTAAGTGGCCGCGATGTCAAACCGTGTCCTTCACCTGAGTTCAGCTCTTACAGGCACATCTGCAGCGAGGCCACCACTAATGGAGTTCATTCGATTGTCCTCTTCAAAACACAACACTACAGACAGTGAGTGCCGACAGTGACGACCAACAATGTCGTAATTATTTTAAAAACAACCGCTTTAATTTAGCAGGAGTCTCTAATGAATCTCTGAGCAGCCCTTCTCCGTGAAGCATTAATGTGTATCTACCTCTACTGTAGCAGGTGGTGCTGCTGGATGTGTCATCCGTGGTGCAACACATTTTATTATTACTTGTTTTACCAGCTGGCTTTTATGCAGCATTTTGTTTCTGGATGCAGGAGAGAAAGAGAGAGAGAAAAAAAGGTTTTGAATCTGAGCTTTATGGATGTAAACCTGCACAAACATGCTTTATGTTGTATCCCAAGTGATAATCTAAGCCTAAATGCAATTTTAGATTATTGCTTTAAACTTTAATTAACAGGGGAAGAAGAAAGTCTTCGGGCAGCTTAACCAGAAAAAGGCACTGGAGCACAGTTCAAATGTATTCATTTGCTGCAAGGACTGATATCTCGATGCAACCGCCTCTTCTACTTCACAGTGCAAAATATAATTAGCATGGACTGAGAATTGAAGGCAATAATAAAAAAAATAAAAAAATAAAAAAATAAAAAAATTCTCTTTATCCTGCAAAATCGTCCTGGAGGGGAAAATGGTTTGTCCTCAAACTGAGCTTTTCGTGAGCCAGTGTCCTGACTGTTCCACAACTGCACAGCTCCGTGTTACACCCACACCACTTAGCCCTGTCTGTAACAAAACCAATTACAGTCAAACACGTATCACCAGCTCCCATGCCCTCCACTTCACTTCTGACTGAAATTCCATCCTGTGCCTCAGGTGTTTCTGTGGGCTTGACAAACTACTGTAGCTCATGACAAAAAGTGACCTTACAGCGGAGGCAAGGAAAAAGAAAAAGTCAGTAACAGCATTCTTTCCATTTTTGTATGCTTATTGTTGCTTCTCTGCTTCTGCCAATTTGATTTTGTGATGTGAATAGATGTGCAACTATGAAACCATTTGCCCCTATTCTTTCACGTGACGCAGACAACTTACTCGAGGCTGTGCGAGAACAGAGCATCCTGCATTAAATATGTAGAGTTGTTGCTATAAGCAGGAACACGAGTCCTCGGTCTTTACAATCTGAGCCGCTGTATAAATAAACAGATGAGTCAACAACGTGCCGCAGAGCTAGAGTGAAAAGGATACAGATAAGGGCTCCATTGCTCTTAATATTTAACCTTTAAGGTATTTGCAAAGCTTGCCTTTTAACCATCCCACATTACTGGAAGCCTGTATGTCAGATTGGATTGGAGGTTCTAATTATGACTCATGAAGCATTGGCCACAGGAGTCATATAAGCCTTGTACAGCAAATTCAGGGAAATACACGTATTGTGAGTAAAAATACACTCGCAGTAGCTGAATGGACTGTACTGAATTTAGTAAATGATGCAGACTCATTGCGTTATACTCTTTATGTGTGTTTGCATGTGAATTTGTGTTGAAATATGAGCAGCAGTCTAAAAGAAATGTGTTTACATCCAAGTTGCCTTCAGCGCTGAATGTTCCGAGTTCAAACTTCACTTTGGGCAAAGTTTTCACGGAAAAGTCCATGATCTGATCATGACCCATGTTTTACACCACATTAGGCGATGATCCAAAGCTTAACCTCCTCTAAAGCCGACTCAAACTCAAAAGGGGATGTGACCCGTGGCTACACTGCTTTATCAAACTGTGTTTTCGGCTCATTCCAGGATTTACTTCGTAATTTGGTTGGATTTTTTTTTATAGTGTATCCCCTAGCTCTCGACATTCAGCAGTGCATAGCATTATTTAATTTTTCAGCTACAATCAGCTAGTGCTTGGTGGTATGACCAAAATTTTCACAGTATTTTCTGGTGGTTTACAGTATATCACTGTATTTTTTGCATGACAGTGCCTTTATGTAGGATTATAATGGCTTGTTCTACTGTCAGGAGTACATTACATATAAACACATTGTAATGTCATCATGTATATACATAAGACTGTGATTACTGTAGGTTTTCTTGGCCCCACAGAATGATACAATATATGGAGGAATCAGAATGCATGAAATTACATAAAATGAAAATGACTCAAAGAATTATTTGAAGAGATATTTCTCAAATGTTCTATTGCACAAGACAAAAATATAGTATACATATAGTAGTTGTTTGAACTGTGCAACAATATGGCCATACATGAAAAACGCACATCATACAAGGATTTAAAACCAGTATGGTTCATCCGATATATTGCCCAGGACTACAATCAACCATTAAAAAGTTAACATTTGGTGTACATCAATATTTCATGGCATTATTTGCTTTCTAGGTAGATCAGCAGAACAAGCTCTTAAGATCTGTTGTGTAGTGTTAGCAGGATTTTATCCTGAGTTTTGCCTGTAAGGCAGCACTTCCTCTCTGACTGTGTATTGTCCCCAACAAGCTCATTAGCTGGTATGGGAAAGTATTGGTTTTAAACTTAGTGTAACTCAGGTCATTTGCTCTCTCAGTTTTCTCTGTTAGCAACCTGTAGGATTGTCTAACTGCTCGTGTTCTTGCCCCATTGAGCCTAATTTAAGATCTCAGCAACTGTTTTGGTGAGTACAATGTTACCAAAACTGATAGAACAGATTTTGTGAATCAATCAAAAATAAAACCCAAGTTGTAATAAACAGTAGGTTTCCTAACTGCATGTACTACAATAGCCAAAATGCCTGAATGGACATAACAACATATTTGAGTAAGTATGAAACCAGATGTTGTTAAAGGATGGTATGTACTACCATAGCCAAGAGGCCTGAATGAAATGGAATAGGAATGTAAAGTTATTACAACATATTTTTTTAGCTGCCCTTTGTTTGAATTGTATAGCAAGAATACCATACTAATAATATATCAGTATACACTAGGGCTGCGCAATTAACCGAAATATTATCGAAATCGCAATATGGTCAAGTGCAATATGCAAATTGCATGAGCTGTAATGTTTGTTTTTACAATATAATGCAGCCCTAGTATACACATGGCTTGAATTAACCAAATGCTGAAACACGTGACAGCACTAATCAAAGAAAATAAGGCACATCAGAGCCTCCATAAGAACCAGCAAAAAAATTGGATACTACTATTTCATCTTCGTCCAATTTCTACATGACAGCTGTCAACAAGCAACTCACATCTGCAAAATAGAGAGAAACAAAACTGATCAAACAAATACCTGCTGAGTTCTTGGACCTGGCAGAGCACCATTGAGATTCTGAGAAA